CTGGGATTACAGGTATAAGCCACTATGCCAGACCCACATTGGATATTTCCTACATCAGGCATGTGTGTTATAATTGGGAAAAAAAACACTTCTGTAAAAAAGAAAAGCCTGGTGAATAGTGATATGGGCCATATAGTTATGGTTACTCTCAGATCCCGGGAAACCAGCATCCATCCCTTGTCCATTGGCAGCAGCTCAGTTGTCTGGTGTCTTTCCCAGAGGACTCTGAACCCATCCTATGGCCTCCCACGTGAAATACTGAACTCCACAAAAAAGAGTAAATCAGTAAGGGGAAATAAGCACTGAACAAGCACCGAACTCTGAGGTGCTCTCGGGAGTGAAGGGGCTGAGCTTAAGTTAAAGCCATGCCTTACGGGGCTTGTAGAACATGCACATTCACAGCCTTTGTAGATTTCACTGCAGGTCTCAGACTTCTTCAGCAGTCCAGGTAAATAATCACTTTAGGTGAACACACCTCAGTGAGAAACTGGTCCTTCACCGCATAGGCACCCAGGTGTGTGCTGTGTGCAGTAGAGAGTGTCACTCTATGTGTAAATACATGTCTTTACTTGAAATCTGCACCTCTCATCCATGTGACCTTCTTGTAGGCCGATCAAATGAAGAGGAGGAAACTTCTGATTCTTCTCTAGAAAAGCAAACTCGATCCAAATACTGCACAGAAACCTCTGGCGTCCACGGTGACTCACCCTACGGTTCAGGTACCATGGACACCCACAGTCTGGAGTCCAAAGCCGAAAGAATCGCAAGGTACAAAGCAGAAAGAAGGCGACAGCTGGCAGAGAAATACGGGCTGACCCTGGATCCTGAGGCCGACTCTGAGTATTTATCCCGCTATACCAAGTCCAGGAAAGAGCCTGATGCTGTCGAGAAACGAGGAGGAAAAAGTGACAAACAGGAAGAGTCAAGCAGAGATGCGAGTTCTCCGTACCCCAGGACCGAGACAATGGGGCTCAGGACCTGTGCAGGTGAATCCAAGGACTATGCCCTCCATGGGGGTGACGGTGCTTCCGACCCGGAGGTGCTACTGAACGTAGAAAACCAAAGACAAGGTCAAGAGCTGAGTGCCACGCGGCAGGCCCATGACCTGTCCCCAGCAGCAGAGAGTTCCTCAACCTTCTCTTTGTCTGGGCGAGACTCCTCCTTCACTGAAGTGCCACGGTCCCCAAAGCACGTGCACAGCTCCTCCCTGCAGCAGGCGGCCCCCCGGAGCCCCTCCTTCGGTGACCCACAGCTATCCCCTGAGGCCCGACCCAGGTAAGCATCCAGCCCACGATAACCATCCTGAAGGCAGGAGAATACCTTCTTTTTGCCTCTCTGTGTGATAGGGTTTGGGTATTCTTAGCATCTTGTGGAGGTCGAGGGTCATTGGAGAAATATCATGGTATATGATTTTTTTTTTTTTCCCCGAAGACAGGGTCTCACTCTGTTGCCCAGGCTGGAGGGCAGTGACATGATCACAGCTTGCTGTAGCCTTGAACTCCTGGGCTCAAGCAATCCTCCTGCCTCAGCCTCACAAGTAGCTGGAATCACAGGCACATGCCACCATGCCTGGCTAATTTTTACTTTTTTTTCTTTCTTTTTTTTTTTTTTTAGAGACAGGGTCTCGCTATGTTGCCCAGGCTGACCACAAGAGATTCTCGAGTTCGACCTCCCAATGCGCTGGGATTACCGGCATTGGGAGGTCAAACAGGAGAGTCTCTTGTTTCACTAAAATGGACACGATACCATACCTGCCCTGAGATTCTTACATTTTGGCCATGTCAAAACAGGTTCTACCAAAGCAGGAAGCCTTGTGTTCTTTCTGTTTGTGTGTTTCTTATGTTCTTTTTAAAAACAAATTGAGCAAGTATCATGAGGACACTTTCATGGACTCCTCACTTCAGGACCCTCTTGCTGGATGTCTCACCCCCGTTTCATAGTTTGTCTTTTCATGGCTTTTCTGTAATCATATCAGAGACTGATGATTGTTGGTGATTGCTTCTGTTGCTGTGGTTAGAATCACAGAGCAGAAGAAGCACCACTAACCAGTGGAAGCATCTCAGCACAGGGCACAGAAGTATCACTGCAATATACACGAAACAGAGCTAGACTGCCTAGTTCTGTAAGTATATCACATACTAGGACACAGATATGTGTGAGAATCCCGCATTATAAAGATCAGCCATTAGAAAAACCACTGTGTAAAAGGATCCACTCAAGATAAGAGCAGCTCCCATTTGGAGAAATTGAAAAAGGTATGAAATCAGAAAGTCAAATGACAGAAGAGAAAATATGTTTACTTCCAAATTTATATTTTAAAACCATGATGACCATATTAAAAATGCGATTTACTTAACTGTCCTGTTTAAAGATTTGGGATAATTGTCTAGGTGGATCTTAACTGTATTTTTCAGTTCAAACAAGCAATAACTTCCCAGGCGAATTGAGAAGGGATGAGAACCTAAGGTCAGGGAGATTCATTCTGAAAGAAAAAGACTCATATGTGAGAAACACCCTTATTTGTTTCCCATTGGGACAGAGGGGTGCACACCTGGTCATCTCTAAGTGGCAGGAACAAATGTGAAGCAGACCCTTGTGGTACTGAAATGTATTAACCCAAAGACCTGTCATTGCATACTCAAGCATCCAGACTGAAATATTTAGAGAGATCAGCTTCCAACAGAATTAAATACTATAGATCCCAAGGATCCATTCTGAGCACGCTTGTTCAGTCTTTCGCTTTAACTACTGGAAATGTAGGGACTGTGAGTTACTGTCTCATATTTTGAAAAGAAGGTTTTTGTTTGAGAATTTGCATTTCATCATAGAAACCATGTTCTTGGTTTAGTTACTCTCTACCAAAGGAAGTTCTTCCTGTGTTTTGCAAGTAGGACAAAGAACCTAACAGACTCCAATTTAAAAAGAATATTAGAGATATATAATTACACTGGTTTAAAAGAAATGAGGAATCTAATTTCAGATTGCCACATGATGACAGCTGTTGAAGTCGTTATCATGGTATGTGAGTTAGTCACCTAGATCACGTATGATAGATTCTCAGTAAGATTTTAAATCAGTTATAATAGTAATTAAGACTTTGTTGAGCATCCCAGGTAAAAGGACAGAATACTTCATATTTCGTATGAGTTAAAATCTTAATATTAAAAAATGTATATAACTTGTCTTAAGACCTAGAAAAAAGCATTGTCGACATATTTAGGCCTGTAACAAAATAAAGCGACTTCTTTATAGGTTATTTTGAAGATGCATATTACCTAGAAGTTTTCATAAGCCAAGCCTTAGCTTCACAGCACTTTACTTTCATGAAAAAGACTTAAAAGAATTAAGAAATTGTAAGGACTTCTAGAAGAGGTGCATACCTTCTTTTCTAAGCCATTTAAGGTATACAGTTCTATGATTCATAGGCAAAGAAACCCAAATTAGTTTATGTATTTATTAGGAAAATACCTGGGACATATTTACATAAAGAGGGATGGAAAATGTGTGACAAATCTGACGTTTAAAACAATTAAGATTTACATTGTAATGACAGCAGTGATTCAGCTTGTAAAAATGGATTTACAAAGGATTAAAATTCTGCTTCGATAGTCTTTATCTAGAACCAGGAAATTCAAGTTTCAGAAAGTCATTTTCTGATTCCTGCTTAGGGGGAAGTAAGATGAACCAAAAAAAAAATATATATTGTAACCCAAAACAGTAACAAAAGAAACCTCCTTGGTGACCTAAATAACTGTATGTGAAAATAATAATGTCATCTGATATGGAAACATGTCACCGAAAACTTTAAAATTAACAAGTGAAGAGAAAAAGTATCCATAAATAATGTTTAATGCTGTGGGTTTTTATGGATTTTTTCTGTCACTAAAATGGAGTATTTTTCTCACTGCTGCACTCTGCCACCATCTAGCTCTGCCAAACTTTGACTGTTAAATCTCTGAATCAACTCCTTCCCATTTAATCATTTTGTTCTGTGCTTGCTAGCAAGAGGCTGTCTTATTTAAATATGAAAATAATGACACTCATGAATATACCATCAAAAGACCACCTATAGTGTCCTAAACATTCAGATGTGAGTCCCATCTCCAATGCTATTTTTGAATGTGCTCATGTACACTAACACCTGTACACACCTGTGCATATATACAGAATAATCATTAATTCTCATACTTCACTATACTATACTCATTAAGCATTATAGGTAAAATAACAGTATTTAGGACAATATTTACCTGAGTAATACATTTATTTTATAATTCTTTAGTATTCAGTTTATATGATAAAGAAGATTTTTTAAAAATTAGTTAATTGATTAGTTGATATTACAGATCTTTAACTCAGAAATTCTGTTAGATGCCTGGGAATTCAGATGGACACATTGCTCTGAAGAAAACTAAGAATACACACAGTAACGAAATAAGTGAAGTAGAAAATAATAAGATACTTCCAGCCCCACTCTCCAACTGTTACAAACCTGTAAACTTGGAATTTCAGAAATGGTATTATTTGCTGGAGAGGTAGTGTTACTGATTATGAACCATTCTTTGTTAATTCCACCACTGTGAATTTTAGAATAAAATTAAAAGGAGTTTAGGTCCTATGGATTATTCAGATTTTTAAACATCTGAGCTTGAGCTTCTGCTACTACTAGAAATTCCGAATCCAAAGCTCTTGTTGAATTTGTTACTTTATGCATCTCATGTATCTATGTAAAGGAAATGTGCTGTGTTTGTTACTTTTATGAGTGGAGAAACTCATTGTCTTCAGTCCTGCTGCTACCTTTGCTAAGCATCCAGCTGACACTCTTTGCTCTCAGGGAACTATGTGACTGGCAAAGAGAGTGAAATGGAAGGTAGACCTCATTTATTTTCTTTCTTTCTTTCTC